GGAACTGACCATCGCCGCCCATGAACGTCTGCAACTCCGGAGTCACAAACGCGTTGCCGGCCTTTTAGGAAGCAGCACGCTCTTTTCTTGAAGGTTTGAAGGTCGTATCGATCCGGAAATAACGCAGACGATAACCCGTTCCACAGATTGGTTGTGCGCGGCAAAAAGTGTCTCGAAAAGCGCACATTAGTAATAATTGACTGCACGGATGGCGTAGTGGTTTAAGCGGTCGCCACGCCGCTTCCTACTACGCCGAGTGTTGTGGGTTCAAACCCCACGTGGGACGACACTTTGTGTGATCCACAAATTGTTGTTCTGAGTCTGGGTGTCCTTTGTGTCCGTTTCATGTATGTTTGTAAAGTCCCCCGCGACACAGGATTCATTTCTAATGCGGGCGTTGTCTTTAAAAAAAAAAAAAAAAAAAAAAAAAAAATTAAAAAAAAAGGAGCTGTAAAATTTTCTAGTTCGATTTTTTGCTGTTGAGACTATAAAAGGAAAGAACATCTATTTGCGGGCAGTAGTTCCATGAACCATTTGTTATGATGATAAAATAAAGACAAGGACTATACACGGCTATACCAAAGAAGTTCTTTTCCCTATAGTTTTTAACGTTTCAGGATTATAACATACCTAGGTACACTCACATCTTTACAGAGAAGACAGAGACGTGTCTAAAACGCCTACATTTTGTTGACTATAATTACACTCCCATTCACGTAATAGGGGGAAGTCTATTGCTGGCACCAGCCACATCTTTTTCTATATAAACATACTTATATATTTCTAAAAACACGCAGGATCATACGTGCATAGGAAAATAGACAGGCAGCTCATTTCAAACTTTGGTGATTAGAAACAAAAAGGAGCTGTCAAATTGTTGAGTTCGATTTCTTTATATTTCGGCTTTGACAGGATAGGACCTTTGCTTGCGTGCAGAAGTACAATCAGAGAACATTTTAAGTTCAATTAGTTCGAAAAAACCCTGCTAAAGTCAGTTAAATTGATTAAAAATTGATGAGCAGATGACTTGACGATAATCAACACACATCAAGTAGGTTTAGGCCTACTATACCACACTGGCTAGATGAGTTGGTATAGGGTTTGTTTAAAGTCTTCCTTCTATTTGCAGTGCTGTTGTTCTACGACACCCACGGGATAAATAGGGATGGTGACACTCTGTATTCTTAATTCGTCACCACACGGAGTACAATAATCCAGAATTGTTTATTTACTTCACTTAAGAAAACTAACAGCTACAAAATGATAATGGGTAGTTTGATATACAACATCAAGCCAATTATAGGTTTTTACGTATTGCAACATTATGAAATAACAGAGGATTTGGAACACTAACCAACACGACACTATACCAAATATAATAAATACAAACAGATCGAAAAAATGTGTGGCGACTCCCACATACGAAGAAACATACTACAGCGCCCTCTAACGAAGATACACCGAACTATGGAGTAACTACTGAAAGAGAATTGATAATCCTGTATCGCGATATGAAGAATTCTCTCGCCGATTAGCATATGTACAACTTCCCAACATCAACCATTGGGCCGCGGCCGGCCAGGCATGATCACCTCGCCTAGTCGGAGGATCCTCCCTTTGTGTTGGAGGGACATGACACCCGTTCCTCCACAAATGTTATGATGAACGGTACATTTTAAATTTGTAAGTAAATGATTTATAATTTAATTTTATAGATATGGCACTGGTGTTGATATCACTATTGATGAGTCATTGTTACTACATCAACAGTCTATTGATACCAAGATTGACACAGTGAATTTATGTTAATAGAATACCGATATTTTGACCGATGTCAATGGTATCTCAATAGCGTGGCAATGGAATAATAAAATAGCTGAATTGAAGCCCGGTCGAGCCGGCCAATTCATGCGAAAACGAGGCTCTAATACGCTATAAGATTCTTGAATATAGTTTTTCGTGCATTTATATGAGATCTAATTCCATATTATGGACGTATACGAGTATCTATGTATAACAATAACCTCACACATCTTACACCGGCCGTTTCATAGTAAACTAGGCAGAACCTGTACTAGGGGAACCAGACTGCTGACACACATATTGAAATACTTATAAATACATAAAAATGTTATAGGGGTATTTAAATTACACCCTGACATGGAACATTATTATTTGTCCAGGGTTGGTATCGAACCCACTACCTCCGTCTCAGTCAGCAGCAGCTAAGATCATTAATCACTTCACCAGATATATTTTGACTGCCTCAGTGGTGCAGTGGTAGCGTTTGCGACTGCTCTGAGGTCTCGGGTCGGACCAAATGTTTGTATGATCCGCAAATGTTTGGTTAATAGTTTGGGTGTTTTCTATGTATAATATGTATGTATTTATAAAAAAAAGTATGTAAGTACCAGTCAATCTAGCTTTCATAGTACAAGTTCTGCTTAGTTTGGGTCTGGATGACGTTGTGTGTCAGATGTTCTAAATATTATTATTTTAGAACTTTAAATTTATCTGTTAATATAAATATTTTTTTACATTTGTTACCTTCATTCTTTTGTGAGATTATGAGCTAGTTATCAACACACTACTGTAAAAAAGGAGTAGTTACAATGTATAACATTAGTCAAATTATTAGAAACAAATGTCGAGACGACCCATTTGTGCCGAAGTAAAACTCTCACATGGAGAAAGCTTTTTGTATCCTTTTACAAGGGTCGATGGGTCCTCAAGCAAGATAATATAAACTCTTATATTACCATATACAAGTTTATATTATCTTGTTTAATAAAATATTTTTATTATTCCTTGCAATCAAGTTTTACTTCCATTTCGGAGCATCATTTGAGAACCTGGGCCCTATTGATTTTGCTGTATCAGAATTCCAATCATCGTTATGATTATAATTACCTTATTTTCCTTATATTAATTTGATTTGGGGTTAATTTAATTTCTTTAATGGCTGTCCACTTATTTCGCACCAATCGTAATTGGAGGTGATCATCATTTTCAGGAGGGGTCATCGAGGAACATATTTTGTGGTAATAAAAATGAATACGGTGAGAGAGATAGAAAGATAGATGATAGAAAGCGAGACTTAAAATTGAGTAACGTTAAAAATAAAGTGTATTTTCTGTGATTGGAAATAAATATAAAACAGAAATATACCACAATTATAAATCAAATGTAAAAAAAAATTTGATGGTATTGTTTTAAGAAAAATAGATAAAATAGAAAATTTTTGCTTTTTATCGAGTGTGAAAGGTTGCCGGAACCCATGCCTCTATAACGAGGAGGGATGTTGTAATCGAGGAGCCGCTCTTGGCTACGCACTCCTCTTAGTTGCAGGTGTCAATGGACGACAATAGTCATTTACTCTTACTACCACCTGGTATGCATGGTCACCTGACCATGCTACTCATTTACCCATTTAAAAAAATATAGGAACGTATGCAATATCTGAAATGACACTGCTGGAAAATTTTGCTGTAGCGTATTTTTGTAACAAAAATACAGTGTTCGGTTTGATAGAACGGTAATGCAATGAAGACATTAAAAATGGAACACTTACTTTGTGAAGTGATTTCGTTGAATGTATATTGTGTTATCGGCGGTGTTTTAAAAAATCGTTTAGACGATTTCTGGAACTACTCACATTCAGCACTAATTCGTCCAGTTAACAGCTGGATTGCTTTCGTTGACTTCATTTTTAAATTGAATTGATTACAAAATTCTCCATGCTCATTAGCTTTTAATTTCTAAGAATAAAATCAATCAGCAGCACTCTTATCAATATTTTTAAAAATGATTTTGCGATTTCTTTTTTTTCTATTCACTCTTGCACATTTTAGAACAGACTAGTTTTTAGTATTAAGCTTAATATAATAATCATTCAAGAAGAAGATATAAGTGATATACAATAGGTATTCTAGGACCTTATTATTTTTCTTCATTTTTTATTTTTGTCTAACTGTTTATGGGATACAATGACTTCAATGATTGTATTTGTTAGAAATTAGGTAGTTAAACGTAACAAAGCAAAACATATTTTTACAAATGCAAACATTAACGAAATCAGATTACAGCAAATTCCCGTTAGTAAATCTTTAGGTAGACTTTCCTATAAATTTGTCGTAACATTTTATAAATTAAATATATCTCGAAGGAAATAATTCCTGAGACAATTACACGACTACTGTAATGTTACCACTGTGACGTATAACATTCTATAAGTTATGCCAATTTACTATTTGATTATCAACAAAAAGAGTAGTAAAATAATTTAAAAAAATGCAGATTCCATCCGTCAACTCTTTAATAACTTAACTGCAAATTTCTAATCTCCGTAAAATGTTACATGCCAATGTCAATGTCAATTACCGCATTACGGCAATTAATAAATAATTTATTAGTACAAGAAATCTACTGTCAGCTTTTCACACCAGGGATCAGATTAAATTCGTCTCTTCCTAAATCTTGGTGCCTAAAATCGATCTACCGGGCAATGGGAGAGGCCTATGTCCTGTGGACTGCGATAGGCTGAAGATGGTGATGAAATCTTAGTGTAGAGGTAGTTTTTCAGATTAAGTTTTAGGGATTTGATCATTTCTCTAAGTTTTGATAGATATCAGCTGGTTGCAAAATAAAAATAAAATGAACAATTGAAGAGTACAAAAAGTTTATAAATAATACTACAAAACTTATAACTAAACAATTATAAAAAATATATATTAGGAAATTGATATGCCATTCATTATATTTAAGAAAGACAAGCGTGATGTTCGTTAATATTTTGAAATTAATTCGGTTTGAATAGTCATACAGTTTTGATATAACAACATTTCAACCCATATCATACTCAACACTAACAATACACTTTAAAATTTCGATTTTTAGAAAATACAACACATTCTTCAGCTGAACCTTAGGAACATCACGTTCCTTGTTAAGGTCTGTATAGTTTATTTGCCTTTCTAAAGCCACTGCTAATATACTAATACCTATTCCCGGCTAAACACGTTAACAGTATCAACCATTGTCTCCCAATATGCGGGCGGCGCAGTAGGTGTAACATTTAATTCATTAGGAATATTTCGTGGCATAAAATTATTTATTGGTCCTATTTCTATAGGGATATCCAACACAATATTTCTATGTGGCATTGGCAATGTAACTTTTGTTCTAACTACATAATCTCTTTTGATGACTTTAGAATTTTGTAAAGTTGCTCTATCTATAGGCACGTTCATATCTATAGCTAAAGGTTTAAGAATGCCACAATCAATGCGACCTATTTTAGCCCCCGTATTTGGTACATCCTCGCAAGCTTTAACTTTGGAGTGTCCTTGTACTTTAAATGTATAAATTTCAACTAATTTTGTTTCAATGCAAGAAATCGGAACATTGGAATCATTTTTTATTTCATAGTCTATATGTACTTGCCCACCAATTGGTATGATAGAGTTCTGAATAGTCGCTTTCATGTTTATGAATGCATTTTTTCTTGAAAAAAATCTTAGCAGCTTTTTAGATTTACCGTAAATAATAGGGTGCATCAGTAGCTTAGGAGTAATTCCAGATACCACATAGATTTCTTTTCTAAAATGTTTTGAGAAGGTAAACCAACCAGGCCGTTCAAATTTAATACGTACATAATATTTAAACCGACAGTAAATTCTGTATTGTTTGACGGAATTTTGGTAAAGAAAGCTCGATGGTAATATTTGCGGCAGTGTAAAATTAAAGTTTACATCGTAGCTACCTGCTGGCACCTTAGTTTTTCCATTTGTGACAACATGATCAATATCAACGTAAGTTTCGTTTGAAGATTGAACGTTCTCGTCACCTGTATGAATGTTTTGTGCCGACACTCTTACTTCAAGCAATCCACTTCCTTTTAATGATGTTACGATTTTATCAAACTCCATTTGTTCGGGTAAAACATATTTTATAATGCCTGAAACAACATCACCTGGTTGATATACGCTGTTCGGTGGCTTGAAAAGATTTATCTGACAGGAAATTCCCATTTTAAACTCTTGATCTTTATTACGGAATACTATTTTGATAATTCTTAATTTTATTATAACTTGCTTCTTTTCAACAAATTAATCACAGGTCATTCCATGAAAATTGAAAAATTTCTTTACGAAGATAAGGACACATTTGTGACGGTTAGCAGTTTATGAAATCTGCAATCTTGGAACCGAAGAATACTGGAGTCACTTTTTCCGTAATTACAAAACACTAGAAAATTGAATTGAAATTTATAGGGAATAGTATAAACTATCACTCAAGTAAAATTTAGAAAATGCTTGTGAATGATTACAGTGTACTGACATACTCTCTGACAGTTATTCTGCCAAAGAGAAAAATTCTATGATTATGATTCAAATGTCCAAAAGTCTAGTTCTAGTCTAATAGTTTTCAGATACATACAAGATGTTATAAAATATATAGAATTTTTAAAACTTGAATTGTCTATGAAAGTAAAGAATTCATATCTTATTAAAAATGTATTAAATCTTTAATTTACGCTTTTACACATTACTGTAATATGTAAAGAAATAAATATTTTTACATCTAATTCCCGTAAAAATATGTAATGATTACAGGAATTAGATGTAGGGATTTTTTAATGTCTTGCCTTTATATTTTAAGTTTTTGTTAGTGTGTTTAGCAGTCAGGGTCACTGTTCCAACCAACTTATTTTAAAAAAATTGAACCTACTACAACTTTGTTCAAGTGAAGGCAATTCAAACCTTGTCTTCAGACCAAACTACTAACGAGATAATTATATTCTTCTCTCTGTCTCACTCTATAGCATTTGAGAGCCACGATTATATAAATAGTAAGAGACGTAGTGTCTGCTCTATAAAAAAAGACAACTCCCGCACTAGACGATACCCCCCACTACACATATCCTGATCACATATCGCGAAGGACTTTACAAACATTCATGTAACGAACACAAAGAACACCAAGACTGAGAACAACAATTTGTGAATCACACAAATTGTTTATACGGCCTCACAGAAAACCGCTGTTAACCAATTCTTTTATTTATTTTAACGGAGTGAGAAAGGCTACCACAGGTCCAAAACCCCGACCTTGTTATTTTGGAGAGGAGTCGGCATGAAGTACGGCCACGCACTTTTCTCTCTTGAGTTACACGAGTCCATGGGCATCGTTAGTCTCTTATCATTTAGGTGAACCGACGGTTCGTTTGCCTCCTGAAATAATTCAATGCTAGATCTTTACAGTATAACACAATGATACACAGTTTCTTATGTGTCGGAATCATTAGTAACTCCTCCTAAAACATTAAGCCTGTTACAGTTAGATATTTTGCTCACAAAGTTTATATTTATTAATTTGCCTAGTTAACTTTACTTTTAATTAAAGTTATCCTTAAAAATACCTGAAGGGATTTATTGTTATTGTAATTCTAAGATACCCAATTATATAATTCAAAAAAATAGTTGTCAATATTTCACAATGACGTATATTTCACGAATACATATTATAGGCAAGTAGGCTAATATTTCTAAGTAAAAATAAATGAAATTAGGCAGAGCCTATATTTCGGCTATCAGCGTCAATCTTCTCGGATATAATATTGTTAAATTTTCTTAGCCATTTTAAATGGCCTATTTGCATAAGGATTGCCCTTTTAGAAGAATATTAGAAGGTTTGTATATAAATTACTTTTATATAAAAAGGAAAAAAAAAATGGTGAAGTGTTAATGTAAGTTTCCTCTCTTTGTTTTTATTTATTTATTATTTATTTATTGTTTATTCAGTAACAATAAAAATTGTGTTTGAAATGTTTACATGTTAACTTAAGTTACTAACGAATTTAATTTATATAATGCAATACAAATAGATAAATATGAAAACAAACACATGCAGTCAAAAATTCAATGTCATTAAAATACTGTCAAAATTGTGGTTAGGTAATTTGAAGTTGTCTCCGGGTTTATTATGTAATATACCAATATGAATGTCGATAAAATACCGGTGGGGGGATACAATTTATAAAATTTGCAATTTTTCCACATCCATGAATAGACCATTCACTCAATGCTCAAAATCCGCCACAGAATAATAACACTTTTCTAGCAATAATTCCTTTAATCGGGATTTGAACATGTCTGTGTTATAATATATATATATCTCTTTAAGATGGACAGGTAATCGATTAAATAACTCGACCGACTGATATCGAGCGCAATGCATGACTATATTTAGTTTAGGTGCTATTTTATTTTGTAGAGCCTTTCGACGCGTTAATTCTCTTTCTTCTCTTTCACGTCCTGTCTCTTATTCGTGTATGTACTTTTTATGTATGTACGTGTTTGCCTTAATAGTTTAGTTGTATGAAATGTGAGAGGGTGTATAAAGTAGCATGTGTGTGTGTGCGCGCGTGTGTTGTGTGTGTGTGTGTGTGTGTGTGTGTGTGTGTGTGTGCGTACGTGTGTGTGTGTGCGCCAAGTCATTTTTATTTACTTCGCCATATTGTAGAAGTAGTTCCATTTGTTCATAATTCAGCTTTAGTAAGTATTCCTATAACTGCTGCTTCAATTGCACTTTTTAACCGACTTCAAAAAAAGGAGGAGGTCCTTAATTCGACTGTATTTTGTCCAGAGATATTTGTTCATAATTCTATTATATATAAAAGATTATATTAATTCTATTATATAAAAGGGGAAATGATATTAGCGAAACTTTGGCCAAATTTTATTTTACAAGTTGCTAATCGGGGGGAGAGACAAGCACTGAGGATAAATATTTGACGAGCAGTCAGAACTCCAGCAATCTGGTTCGGCATTGTAGTAGGGCAGAATATGGGATTGAAGGCACAAACTTTTAGTATAATTGTTTTTGAGGCGCTACACAGCAGTACCTCAAAAGCGACTAACAGACTCTATTGTATATTTGTTTCTGCCACTCGGAGTCAGTAGCATGCCTGAGATTTTAAGATATATTTATTAACTTTCTTACTTACCACATAATGGATGGAAATGGATTAAATTAAATAATTTTAGTTCGCCCCGTGTTTCGATATATGGTCCGTGCTTTTGGTTAAGTACCTAGGTATTATAATATAATTAACGAAAGGTTAAACTGATATAGTCATTTGGAACTGGTTTTAACTAGACTGAGAAAAAATTAATGTAGATTTTTAAAGCTTTACGGCTTATTGCGTCAGAGTATGTATTGGACAGAATATATATGGCACTGGTTGAATCTGATGCGTTAAAATATTATGATAGCATACTGTATTCCGGTTTGGGGTTGTGCTGCCAGCACAAGATTCATTGAGTTAGAAAGAACCCAACGCTCAGTGATTAAATTTATGTATCACTAGCTGAGACCCGCGGTGTTACCCGCGTTTGTTGTTATAACCGCGGGCATTGCCGCGGGGCAAAGCTAGTCTAAAAAAAGTAGCCTAAGTTACTCCTTATGTCATCAGCTATCTGTCAGTGAAAATCCCGTCGAAATCGGTCCAGCCGTTCCAGAGATTACCAGGAACAAACAGACAAACAGACAGACAGACAAATATTGTAAAAAATGATTTTTTTTATTTTTAATATTACAAACAGACACTCCAATTTTATTTATTTGTATAGATTTGCCCTATCGATACGGTAGGGCAAATCTATAATATATCTATAATATATCTATAATATACAAATAAATTATTATGCTCTACTCAAGGGCTAACGTCCTAACAATAAGAAAACTTTATGTTAAGAACTCCATACTGAAAAGGAATAAAACATTACCTTATAACCCTAAAGTTTTTGAAACTAGACGAAGTTACGCCGTAGTAAAAGTTATTGGTTGTAGTTTTGCTAAGACACAGTTCACTGTGCAGGCAGCTCACTTGTTCAATAATGCAAACAAAATTTTAAATATTTACCGAATGAAATTTAAAAAAATATAAACAGATATTGATGGAATGGCTTATCACCTTCGATTGTGATGATGTTGAAAAGTTGTTGTTGTAATTGTAATGTGTATGTATTTTTTTCTCTTTTTTTAACTTAGTATTCTTGTCATTGTAAAAGATGGAGTCCCCTGTCACAAGTTTTTAATCCTTCAATCAATGTAAAGAACGAATAAAGATTATTATTATTATTAGAAAAAGTAATGATTACAAAAGATTCATCATCATCATCAACAGCCTATACTAGTCCACTACTGGACATAGGCCTCTCCTTAGAAAGGAGGTTACAGAAGAAAAAAAATAAGAATTACAAAAGATTACAGTTAAATAACATCAAGTCTAGATACGTTCTGCCTCCTTCATTACAAGCCAGATTTAAATAAGAAAAATGATATTCATTTCCTTGTAACAATGGTGTATGGTGTGTTATACGGTCGCCACGCCACTTTCTACTACGCCTAGTGTTGTGGGTTCAAACCCCACATGGGACGACAGTTTTTGTGATCCACAAATTGTTGTTCTGAGTCTGGGTGTTCGTTGTCCGTTTCATGTATGTTTGTAAAGTCCCCCGCGACACGGGATGTATTCCTAACGCAGGATTTGTCTTTAAAAAAATACAATTAATTTGTCTAAGTATAAAGTGTCATATTCAACTTTCACTATGTTATTAGAGTTTTGTAATTGTCCAGGCTGCCTTAAAGAACCACACATCTTTCAATTCAGTCTTCACTATATTGTTTTTTACCTATAATCAATGGTATACACACCGAGTTTTTTTTATGAGGAAATGGAAACTTTGCTGTGATAGCCATTTTATAACCGCGTTTGAAAAACTTTGCACTGTGAATAGAGCATGAATTCATCAATGTAGGTATGGAACACATTAAATAAGCTACATTGTCGTCTATCGCAAGTTATTCTCTAACACTTTCTTTTATAGTCTATCGTTTTATCACTTTTTCTTTACTGCTTACAATTTAAACGTATTCACAAATAAAATTCAATTTAATACAGTTCATATGTATATATGTATCATTTCTTATCATTATGTCTATTTTAATGTCAGAAACGTCTTTTGGATATTGGTCACGATCTACTATTTTTTGGGCCGATATTAACGAGAACGGACGTTTAGTTAATATAAAGGCAAAAATTCCTGCAGAAACAGGTTTTAGACACCCTACTAGTACTTCGTAATGAAATTCTTCCTTGTTATATTTCTGAACAGTTGTTACGAAAACCGCCGAAACTCTGTAAGATATTTAACATAGCGGGTGATTTTACGATGATTGTAAGTCTTCTCAAAGTACTTTTTTTTTGTTTTTAATTCTACCACATTCACACAACGCCATCTAGTCCCAAACTAAGCAGAGCTTGTACTATGGGTACTATAAAACTAATATAAATACATACTTTTGTTCTTTTTTGTAAATACATACATTTTTTTTTTTTTTAAAAAGACAACGCCCGCATTAGGAATAAATCCTGTGTCGCGGGGGACTTTACAAACATACATGAAACGGACACAAAGAACACCCAGACTCAGAACAACAATTTGTGGATCACACAAAGTGTCGTCCCATGTGGGGTTTGAACCCACAACACTCGGCGAAGTAGGAAGCAGCGTGGCGACCGCTTAAACCACTACGCCATCCGTGCAGTCGAGCCTATTATACATAGAAACACCCAGACCAAATCAAACATTAAAAGTTCATGCAAATAAATGTTTGAATTGAGCGGAAATCAAACCCGCTACCTTTAGAATAGCAGTCCGTTACACAAACCACTACGCCATCCGGTCGTCCGGATTTGAAATGGATGATCTTATTTGATGAATATTCTTCTTTTAAAAATTGATAGTCACCATCATTCGTCCATTCAATTATGTTTTCACTTTAATGAAATAGTCATTGTTTTAAACTATGTTAACCTATCTACACTGTATCTAAGAGTGCCTGTAATTCTGAAGCCGTGTCTTTAAACAATTAATATAAATATTTGGCAGTCCAATCCCATTTTAATACTAAAATACACTTAATAGAGACTTTGTGACTGTTGTCCTCACAGAAAAGGTCTGTGAGGTATTGCGTATTTGTAGTAGGTAATAACTGGTGTCTCTCTACATAATGAGTAAGAAAGGGGAAAATTGTAACATATTATAACAACAGCGTGTAAACCCATGATTCAAGATAGTATTTACTCAATAGCTCAATAGTAGCAGAGGTACGTTTATGGTTTTTATTGATTATACTGTTTCAAATCCATTAAATACTTTTGAGTTACGTTTTTGTTCAAATTATTTTTTTTATTTTTTCTAAAACACTGACTTTTAGTTATTTAGAAATAACCACTGCAATTTCTACAGAAGCGTTTCTATGTGGAAACGGAACCACTGCCGTCACTTGCAATTTGTATTCTCTTTTTATAATTTCTGAACGCTGTATACTATATAAATCAGGTGAAGTTGGCACTATACACAGTAATTTCTTAACACTGTTAGTTTTTGGTCCTACACGATCAGTGGCACTTCCTTTTATGCTGTTCCGCCGCTGGTGTTTACGTTTACTGTTAGAAGTATACGTAGTTTCTGAGAATAACTTCAATCTTATAAATGTGACTGGTATAGAAGTATTATTTACTATTGAACATTCTACGTTTATATGTTCTCCTGCTACCAATAATGTTTTCATTATTTCAGCTTTCAAATCAATTGCACCTGATGACGTCAATGATGTTTTCGTTAGACCGAAAATTACAGGCTCCGGCAAACATGGTTCCAAATCACCATAGACACGTATTTCTGTTTCAAACTCTTTCTGGTTATCTAGGAATCCAGGCTTCGAAAATCTCACAATTATCTTGTACGATATTTTTCCAGTGTGTTCCTTGAACCAAGATGGCAAGCCAGTAGGTAGTACAAATTTAAAGGGATAGTTATGAAGTCCTGCAGGTAATTTGTTTTTATTCCTTTTCAAAATATTTCTCACCAAAAACACATATTCTTCTTTACCATAACATGAGGCTGAATCTGAGTCTGACTCCGCCCATGAGCACTTGCCTTTTCCTTTTAGCTCAATAGTAGCAGAGGTAAACTCCGTCGGGTGTTTTAAACTATATTTTAGCATTCCAGTAACTATTTGACCACTTCTGTATGCTCCTCCAGGAATTGGTGGCAAAAGTATACAGCACTCAATCCACATTTTTGTCGATTAGTATCTTACGGAGCGACCTCCACCAGCACCAAATCGCGGAATACTAGCTGTTTGAGATCATTGTACTTAGACGTAAAACCCGTTATAAAAAGATCTCAGGAATTCTGTCTGTGGGTTGCGAGTCAATCATAACACAAAAAAAACACGTTTGCTCTATGATTATTTAACAGTTTTCCTGCTGTGTTTACTATGCGTCGTGGTTCTAGATGACGTATTTAACCTTGACTTGGACAAAACCGGTTTTACTTTGACAACAAATTCCAAATGAAGGACACCTGTACAAATATGATATGGCAAATTTTGGTAAGCGTTTGCCGGTGACCTTTAACACTCTAGAATCATAAATAATAATTTAATATAAGGAGACTTCGATTCAATGCCCACTCAGCGTAAATATCTAAATGCGTGAATATATCTTTTGTATAATTATGTATGCTTCATATACCAAAATAAAACATATATAGGTTTACGTTTCTCCGAGTACTATTATACATTTGAGTTATGCCTTGTTTAGGCTAACGTAACGCTGTATGGTATTATCCCAAAACATAATAAAAATATCTTCACACATCACACACGAACATCTAAACCCAAACTAAGCAGCGCATGTAATGTGGTGACCAGGCTGTTGATAAACATGCTTAAATATTGCAAAATACATAAATTACACCCAGACACAGAACAAAATGATCGTGCTCATCCCAACCATTTTAAGTTTTACACTTTACCTTTAGTACAAGGTAAAACTTCTTAATGTTACAATTGTAAAACCTTTAACAGAAATATACTACTCGTGTCATTATATTCATTGGAGTAGACGTAATACAATAGTTAGAGATATCAGAATAGCTGGTATTAGCTAATTGGAGTCACGCATATGTGTCCCTGACCTGCCACAATTATTGTTTACACACTGCAACTTCTTTCTAACTTTGAAAAGACGAACTTCAAACAACCATATCATACCTTATTTTATTCCCTTAGGGGGGGAATTTTCAAATACCCTTTCTTAGTGGCCGCATGTAACATAAAGAGAATCAGATTAAGGCTCTTCGTTGCTTAATTAGTCAGTCACCGCTCTGCACTTTCGTCTCTTGAGTTAGAGGAGCTCACGAGCGTTGATGGTCACTTACCATTAAGCGATCCGACTGTTTGTTTGCCTCCTGATTTACATAAAATAACCAAAATGAAACTATGCTAGAACTTTATGTTAAAACACAATGATACACGTTTTCTTATGTGTCGGGATGAATAATAACTTCTAAAAACGCTAGGCCTATCATAGTTATATTTTGATCGCAAAAGTTTATTAGGCGCTTAGCAACATTAGATTTATTAGTTTGTGAATTTTCCCAGTCAACTTTTCTTGAATTAAAGTTTTCCTTAAAAAAACTCAAGGTATTTTAATGTTGTTGTCAAACTATTTCAAAGTATCTAATTTATTTTTTAACAGTATCTTATCGGTATCGAGGTATCAATTATTGTGTTTAAATAGCTGCAGAATATCAACACATACTTTAACATCATTTTATGAATGACGTAAGAAATGTAGAGATCTGGTCACTCGTCTCCAGTAAGAAGTCGCACCTAAGTGGGCTAATCTAAGCTACCTAACACTGTATTCCGGCTAGAGTACCTGACATAGAGGTGTACTTGTACGGAAGTAAGCAAACGTGACGCAGGGTTCCAATGTGTCCATTATCAGGCGTTACCATTATCCAAAAAAAAAAACTTGGACCATCTAACGATACACAGGGATTGATCCTTTCAAAGATTACTTTTTCTTTTTTTTGTTTATATATTGTTCATCAATTGGCAGGAGGGATAGGCGTTTGGTTATGTTTTCACCTAACGTTATAATATTATAAGCGCAGGTAAAACTGTAGGGAATTACTGGTTTATTGGAATGGATTAAATGAGGAAAAGGAGTAAGCATAACAGTACATAGCAGTACATAAAGTAATGATTACAAAAGGTTACAGCTAAGTCCTCCTTTTATGCGAGTCGGTTAAAAAGTAAATACAAGAAATAATAAATTTACATTTTAATTAATAATCTTAAATCTGGAATCACGCAGTAAAAGTAATGATTGCAATAGATTACAGCTAAGTTCTTTTTTATGGGAGTCGGGTAAAAAGTAAATACAAGAAATAATAAATTTACATTTTAATGAATAATCTTAAATCTAGAATCACACAGTAAAAGTAATGATTACAAAAGATTACAGCTATCAATCTATTACGGCTATCAAGCCTACATAATATGTTCTGCCTTCTTAATTACAAGCCAGACTTGAAGGAGGAAAACGATATATTATTTTTTTAATTGCAAAACCAGTATATTCTTGCAGAAGTGTGTATTATATGCCCGTGTGGTGACGGATTAAGAGTACGGAGTCTCACCACCCCTATTCGTTCCGTTGGTTGTCGTACAAGTCGACTAAAGCATCAACTAATGCAGGACATCAACACTGCAAAGAGAAGGAAGTTTTCACAAACAAGTTGACACAAACTCCATGCCAACCCGTCTGGTATAGTAGACTAAAAGTTCCGTTCTAACGAGAGGCTTATGCCCAGCAGTGGACTATGAAATGTTGTTGATAAAGAAAAAAACTTTTCACTATCATATTAGAGTTATGTCACTGTCCAGACTGTCTCAAAAAACCACACATTTTTCCGTTCTGTCTTTACTACATTGTCTTTCACCTATAATCACTGGAATATGCAACGAAACTTTTTTATTAGGAAATGGAAACTTTGCCGTGATTACCAATTTATAATCTCGTTTGAAAAACTTTGCATTGTGGACAGAGTATACATTCAGCAATGTAGGTATGGCACACATTAAATAAGCTACATTGTCATCTATCGCAGGAAATTCTCTAACACTTTCTTTTATAGTCTGTTGTTTCATCACTTTTTCTTTACTGCTCGTTATATAAATGTATTCACATATAAGTTTAAATTTAATGCAGCTCACATGTATGTGTGTATCATTTCTGATCATTACGTTTATTTTAATAATTTCGCCTGGCGCTAAAAACGTCTTTTGGATATTGATGTTACAATTCACTGTTTTTTGGGCCGATATTAACGAGAAAGGGCGTTTAGTCAATCTGAAAGCAAGAATTTCTGGAGAATCAGGTTTCAAATACCCAAAAACTGGTACTACGTTATGAAATTCTTCCTTGTTATTCTGACGTAAAGTTGTAACAAAAGCCGCCGAAACTCTGTAAGATATTTTACACAACGGATGATTTAGCGATGATGGTAAGTCTTCCGGAAGTAAAAATTGAAATGGGTGATCATAAACACCGACATTTTTCTTTTCTTTTCTTTCCAAAACAGAGGTATTCAGATCCAAATATTCTTCCTTTAAACTGTTGTATTCACCGTCACTTGTCCATTTAATTATGCCTTCACCTTTGAATGAAATAGTGATAGTTTCAAACTCTGTTGGCTCATCTACGCTGTATCTAAGAGTGCCTTTAATTCTCTCCCCACTTCTGAAGCCGTGACGTTTCACATTCAGTATAAATATTTGGCAGTCCAATCCCATTTTAATACTAAAATACACTAAATAGAGACTGTGAGGTATTGCGTATTTGTAGTATGTAATAACTGGTGTCTCTTGACATAATGAGTAAGAAAGAGGAAAATTGTAACATATTATAACAACAGCGTGTAAACCCATGATTCAAGATAGTATTTACTCAATAGCTCAATAGTAGCAGAGGTACGTTTATGGTTTTTATTGATTACACTGTTTCAAATCCATGAAATACTTTTGAGTTACGTTTTTGTTCAAATTATTTTTTATTTTTTCTGAAACACAGACTTTTAGTTATTTAGAAATAACTACTGGAATTTCTACAGAAACGTTTATATGTGGAAACGGAACCACTGCCGTCACTTGCAATTTGTATTCTCTTTTTATAATTTCTGAACGCTATATACTATATAGATCAGGTGAAGTTGGCACTGTACACGGTATTTTGTTAACACTTTTAGATTTTGGTCCGACATGCTCAGTGGCACTTCCTTTGCTGTTCCGCCGCTGGTGTTTATGTTTACTGTTAGAAGTATACGTAGTTTCTGAGAATAACTTCAATCTTATATCTGTGACTGGTGTAGAAGTATTATTTACTATTGAACATTCTACGTTTATATGTTCTCCTGCTACCAATAATGTTTTCATTATTTCAGCTTTCAAATCAATTGCACCTGATGACGTCAATGATGTTTTCGTTAGACCGAAGATTACAGGCTCCGGCAAACATGGTTCCAAATCAGCATAAACACGTATTACTTTATCAAACTTTTTCTTGTTACCCAGGAATTCCGGCTTCGAAAATCTCGCAATTGTCTTGTACGATATGTTTTTCAGTGTGATCCTTGAACCAAGATGGCAAGCCAGTAGGTAGTACGAATTCAAATGGATAGTAATAAACTTGCAACATTGTTGTTATTCCCTTACAAAATATTTCGTATCAAAATTTTTTATTTTTTTTTATGTTAGAGGGGGCAGACGAGCAGACGGGTCACCTGATGGAAAGTGACCATTGCCGCCCATGAACGTCTGCAACTCAGGAGTCACAAAGAAGGAGTTGAAGGTTCTTTTCTCTTTTTCTTCTCTTTTTCTTCGTCTCTTTTCTTGAAGGTTTGAAGGTTTTCCCGAGAAATGTTGGGGCTATCATCTGCATAGCAATAATAATAATAATAATAATTTATTTTCAGACTAAGTCCATATAATTTGTTAGTAACAATATTCTTAGCCTAGTGTTAGTAACATCAGTCAGGCGCTTGGTCTCACGTGTAGGCCTATCCAGTGTGCCATCAGTGCCGAGTCCATTCGACCGGCCCTAGCGGTCAGGATGGCGCTGGGGCTGCCGCGCGCCCGTGCCATCATTGATGCACAGCGCTTTCGCATTATCGCGTGAAAGCGCCTCTGCAAACATGCTACTCGCGCTACAGAACCGCGGCAGCCCCATCAACACCCTGAATGCATTATTGTACTGCACACGCAAGGCGTGCGCCACAAGCTGCACGTGTAGAAAGTCTGGCAGAATGCCCTAAATAGTGTAACCTTCACTTTTTCAGTGCAGCGTGCAAATCTGCGAGCCAACATATTACAGCGAACAGACAACGCCCTACGTTCCCTTTCCATATCCATATTATCTTTAAGATCCTCGGTGACCCAGTGGCCCAGATACTTGAAGTGAGTGACTCTGTTTAAAGGTGTCCCATAGAGTGATACGGATGGTATCTCTAAATAAACCTTTTTGGGTGCTCTAAACACTATAATCTCACTTTTCTTCACGTTATATCTGAGCCTATGAGCCTCAGCGTATCTTTCACAAATACGTATCAGCCTGCGCAACGCCCCGATTGAAGGACTGAGCAGTACCATATCATCCGCGTAACTAATATTATTAACGCAAATTCCTTCTATATGACAACCAATTCCGGTGCTGCTTAGCTCTCCAATCAGGCCGTTCATATACAAATTGACCAGTTTCGGTGATGTCAGTCCCCCCTGACGCACCCCGCACTCCAGCCCGTACTCATCCGATGCACCATCCGCCCACCTCACAGTATTTTTCTGATTATTGTACCAGTACATAAATATGGATACAATCTCAGGAGGGAGACTAGTGTCTTTATGCATTTTTGTCCACAGTAGCTCGTATGAAACCATATCGAATGCCCTGGACAGGTCCAGAAAACACGCGTATACTGGCGTTTTACGCGCGGTATAGTACTGCACAGTCTGCTTGAGGCACATGATTGCACTATCCGTCGATAGACCAGGCCGAAAGCCGAACTGACCGTCATGCAGTTTGATGTGTTTAGATAAGTGACCGTCAAGCAGACTGTCCATCACTTTCGCTATAATTGTAGCCAAGGATATAGGCCTATAGTTTGACCTGTCCGAGCCATCGCCGGTCTTGTTTTTTACAATGGGGACAACAATAGTATGCATGAAATCGTCAGGCAGGTAGGAGTGGCTAACACACAGATTAAACAGCAAAGCAAGGACTCCAGGTAAGTGTACCCCAGCATACCGTAGGTGTTCGATACTGAGGTTATCATGACCTGGAGACTTTCCTCGTTTCATAGAATGGATAGCTAAAGAAATATCCTTTTCACAGAATCTTACATTAATATCTCCATTGGCCACCGACAATGGTTCCGACTGTGCAGATCCCATAAGCGGTTCAATTCTGAAATGCTGCTGAAATAATCTCGCGATATCATTCGGCTCATGTACACCCCCGACGCTCACGGGACGACTCGGCGACTCAGATTCAACTTGTTCGTTGATTTCCAGAACTTAGAAAAGTTATTATTGCAATGGTGCTGAGCTATTATATCCATCTTAATTTGTTGTTGGTTATTTTGACACCATTTCAATTTCCCCTTAAATGATCGCCTAGACTCAGTCATTTCGTTGTATATCCGGCCAGAGCTAGGTTTACCATACACTAACCAATTTTGATAACATTGCCGAGCCTTTCCGTGAGCCTCCCTAACGTATCTGTTCCATCCTATTATGTGCTTGCCCCTATCAAAATTTGGGGTCGCACTGTAGGAGTACTCCGCGCCCTCAGTCAGTATACGCACTATTATTTTATACATATCATTAATTAATGTTTTATGAATTTTGCAGTTACACATTTTATCAGTACAAGCAGAAAGTTCCGCTGGCAAGTAAATATCTCTCAACTTGGTATTACAAAAATTATGATACATTTCAATTTGACTATTCTGCCTTTCCCCCCACGTGACTTTATTTTTAGGAACATTATTAATTAAAATCTTGGGTCTTATTAAATGTAAATTGCAAGTTAACTGCATCGGATAATGATCAGACCAGTAGGTATCATATAGTATAGTCACGTGATCTATAGTTGATCGCGCGGCACTCGTAACCACGCAGTGATCGAGCCAACGGCGACATCCGTGTGCCTCACTAACAAAAGTGTGTGAATCGTTAGGTAACATATCGAGATCAACACAGGTCCATGACTGTTCTGCACAAAAGTCTAAGAGTTGATTAGCGAACAACTCACCCGGATGCGCATTGAAATCCCCTAAAACGTACACTGATTCTTCATCACTATTTTCAATTATAGAATTTATTTCACTTAGACACTCCGTAAACTCGATCAAATTATCTATTGAGTCCGTTGGCATGTACAGAGATATAATTACCATAGAACGCTCACGTAATTCAACTTTAATTGCTGCTATGCGGTCACTACTGCACTGTAACACTGACACTGAGGTAAACACAGACTTCCTCCACAGCACCGCCACCCCTCCGTACGGGCGGCCTCGGAGCACGCCGGCCGTAGTGTCCACCGCAGACTTGCCAGTGAAAGCGAATTGGTCGCTGATGCTGCCCAAGAATGGTATGTCGTGTGGCAGCAGCCACGTTTCCTGAAGTGCTATAATATCCGCTGTTTCACATATTTTTCTTACACATTCCACAGATCTTACAATATTTTTGCAGTTAAATGTTACAAGTCTAGCGTGATTATTCATATTCCTATTAAACGTTGGGCTACACACGGACAATTTTTTCTCCACTGTTTATATTTTTACTTCTTGTCTTGAAGTCAACAAAACGACGGTATGCGACGCCTTCTGGCCAGAAATCATCATTTAGAAATATTTCTAGTTGATGCTTCGGTACTAATACCTTGTAGGCGTCATATAATTTGGGTATTTTCATATTCATTTTTTCTAAGTGTACAGTAACATCAGTTTTACTCGCAATATAACTCTGTATGTCACACACAGGCACGTCCTTTGCAATATTGTATATATAGATAGGAATTTTTATTTCCGCAGCTTTGAAACTCGCTTCGGGACTCAAAATTGCCTTTCCTGTATTTGCGACAAATCGGTTCCTTAGACGTCTTCTTTGTACTAGGGTCCAACCTTTATCTTCTTTGGGTATTTTCCATTTACCATTGATTACAATATCAGCTAAAGATTTCTTTTTACTGGATACGTCGCTGTTTACGTCCGGAGCGGCCGTGTGTCCCGACTCGCCAGTTACGGCGTTCGCAGCCACTTGCGGGTGAGTCATCGACTCGCGCTCGTCATAGGCCTCAGTAAAGCATATACTGCTAGTATTTACAAGTTGGGTTTCACCGCAAATTTTCGGACTACCCTCATTTTTAGAAAAACATTGAGAGCTATCCCGCTTGATATTTTCTGTTCGTATACCGCTAGAACTTTTACGTAAAGTGCGTTCTGTGTCTATGTATGCAAGCCCCCTAGGATCGTTGCAGTGGTCGTTGTGACTATCTAGCAATAAGCCACTTCGCTTGGTATTAACACTAAGGGCGGTACTTTCAAAAGTTTTCACTACTGATGCCTTTTTTAGGTTTTCAAGATCAGACTTAACAGAATCTAGGTTTGCCTTTATGGCATACTCTTCTTTCATCTGATTCATATCTTGCCGCATAATCATCAGATCCTTTAAAATCCGAGTAACATCAACATGATCAAAAAGCACCGGCGGTAATTTGTGTAGATCCCGGGCCACGAAAACCGGCAAGATTTCAGGATCAGACTCTTTCAGCATGCAGATGATGTCGTCTATTTCACGTAGTTTCTTTCCGTCTCTCTTCCGTGTCTTCTTACGCCTCTCTGTAGGCAGCGATTCACATAGAAGATTTTTAGCACTGTGAATGTCCTCGTCAGTAAATGCACTCACACAAATTTGACTAATACTCTCCTCGTTCATCACATCAATTTTGTTAGAAATAAAGGCAAGAAGTTTGCAAGGCAACATGTCATTGATATGCAGAAGAAACAGTGTGGGTGATAGCACACAGCCTTGTAATATTAATAAATATTTGTTTCGGAGTTTGAGTATTTTCTATGTACAATATGAAATTTATTTAAAAGAAAAAGTATGTAAGTATTCTGTCAGTCAATCTAGTTTTTATAGTAAGATATAGAACCTCTAATTAGTTTGAAACTAGATGGCGTTGTGTGACAAATATTTATTTCTTTAAAATATTATTATTTCTTGCATTAAATAAAATCTCGTTGCAAATTAGAAGCTGTTCCGAGTTCTTCATTGCGACACGTACTTCGAAGATACTTGCGCACGTACAAGACCAGGGCGAATAGCGTTATTCTAAGAGCCAGCGCAGACTACGAAGAACGCAGCGGAGAGAATTTTTATAATACTCTCGAAAATAAACTTTAAGACTATTGCCATAAAGTGCATACACATGGCCCGAGGCTGCGCGTACATTATTTGTCATGTGTAAACATGAATGCAAATTATTACGGTACCTTTAAAGTTTATTTTCGAGTGTCTGAAAAAGAATCTGCGCTCCCCTCGGTTTGCGCTGATACATTTATGGAGTTAATCAAAATTTCCCGATCAAAAGTGCCGTGATTTTCTTGAGCGAGAAGTTCAATAAACAATAATAATAATTATTTATTTATTTATACATCATGCACTTTTGGTGCATTGGCGGATTTAATGCCTAAGGCATTCTCTACCAGTCAACCTTTGGGTGATGCAGAGAGAACAGGAAGTAGGTTCATTTTGGTTAAAGTTTGATAGTAGTTATAATATCAAATACGCATACATAAACCTATCATACACTAGGACCCATACACATAATACATACGTACATACATATACATAAATACATATAAACTTACATAAATACATACATACCTAAATAATCACCATTAATAATAGTAGATGACAAAACATTACCTACGCGGTAAATATTATTCACATTTATATTTATTGAAGTATTCAAGACTGAGCATCCGTCTCACCGATGCCACTTTTACATTAAATAAATCAATGTCAGGACAATAAATACTTCTGTCGGTAATTTGTGGACACCAAGGTGGCGTGTAATGTCTCACGATGTTGGCTGATGCTTTGGAAGATAGTTTAGATAACAGAGAGGGGGAATCTACCTTACCATTAAGTAATTATGTTTAATAAATACATGATCTCACCTTTATTTCGCCACCACTCGACGCTTTATTAATGGTAAAAAATGGTACTTTGAACAAACTTTTAACGTCAGTTGATTCTGCCAGTTGTTTTGCAAAATACTGCTTCACTTTAGTTTTGAATGAGAAAGTGTTGGTGGCCATCAAGACCTTGAGAGGAAGGTCATTCCAGAGAAGAATGGACTGCACAATAAAGGATGAGCCAACAAACTTAGTCGTGTGGGGGGGACAACGAAGAAGAAGGTTGTTAGATCATCAGGATGTATCATAAACATCAAACTTAACAGAAATTATTAAAAATTGTAGATTCAGACTTTTCATACACGACCGTCTGATCTTAAACTAGGCAGAACTTGTCCTATGATAATCAGCTGATACATATACTGATATATTCCTAAACACATACGTTATGTGCTGACAAAGAACAAATGAGCGTGCCAGTAATACAATACTTTTCTTAGTTTTGGTTATAAAAGATCACTCCCGCACTAGGAAAATATACTGTGTCGCGGGGATTTCACAAACATACATGAAACAGACACAAACGACACCCAGACTCAGAATAACAATTTACACATATTCACACATAGTGTTTTCCCAAGTGGATGTCGTGTGTGTGTGTAGGTTCCATGAAGGGCATGGAACCTACACACACACACAAGAACCCAAAAACACTCAGAAGCGGTGAGGTGACTACTTAAACCACTGCGTCATCCGTGCAGTCAAATTATTTATTCTAGGCGTAAATCTCACGAAGCTACGAACTCTGGTTAAGCAGTCAGAACCTCTAACCACTAACAGGTCCGTCAATATATTATATTATATGTTTATATACATATATATACACATATATTTATTACAAAAAGTGTAAAACTGTAAATATTGATTATACTCGTAGTTGCAGCCGTTGCTGTATTTGACTAAATTAATACGCTAACAAAATTAAACAGTTAAATTATCTTTTGAATACTCCTTTATCAATACTTTATTATTATTTCCTGATTCTCTGAAATATTTTTAAACCTGGCTAAATTTAAAACAAACGTGTTGAGGTTGTTGAGAGGCAGAAATTGTGTATTCTGAAGAAGTTTCTTAGTATTTAGGGATTTTGATAATTTATTTATAACACTTTATAACTTTTCTACATTTTATCATTTAACTTAATCTCACATTTAACATATTTTATAGTTTTCTCTCTTCTCTTCTCTTAAAAAGACAACTCCCGCATTAGGAATATATTACAATAGGACTTTACAAACATACATGAAACGGACACAAAAAACACCCAGACTCAGAATAATAATTTGTGGATCACACAAAGTGTCGTCCCATGTGGGGTTTGAACCCACAACACTCGGCGTAGTAGGAAGATGCGTGGCGACAGCTTAAACCACTACGCCATCCATGCAGTCAACATAGTACTAGTACAGTACATAACTTTGTTGTGCATCTTTTAATTACAAAATTGGATTAAAATTGTGTTATTTCTTTTGTGTAACAAATACTAGATGTCCATATTAATAAATAAATATCGTTGTTGTTGTTCGATGTAAATACCTAAATAATGAAATACATTAACATAGCTACATAACATACAAATTAATAACACAAGTGAATAAGGTTGAGGTAAAAGGTTTTTTTTTAATCTAACAACAAACCACCAGTAATAACAGGATGTTAGAACAAATTATTGATCTGTATGTAAGTGAGGAAGTAGATTCTTTATTATACAAAACGCGAATACAGAAACAGACATTTTACACAATAAGAAGCACAATTCTTTTAAATAAGCTTTGTCTTCTAGTCCGTGTGGTGACAGATTAAGAATACGGAATATCACCACCGCTATTCATCCCGTGAGTATCGTAAGAGCCGACTAAGAGAGCAAACTACAGGACAACAGCACTGCAAAGAGAATGAAAACTTGAAACAAACCCTATACCAACCGGTCTGGCGAGCGTGGTATCATCAACAGCCTTTAATAGTCCACTGCTGGACATAGGCCTCTCCTTAGAAAGGACGTTTTGACCTACTATACCACGCTGGCCAGTCGGGTTGGTATAGGGTTTGTGTCAAGTTTTCCTTCTTTTTGCAGTGCTGGTGTCCTGCGCGTTTTGCGCCCTTAATCGGCTCTTACGACACCCACGGGATGAATTGGGGTAGTGACATTCCGTATTCTTAATCCGTCACTACACGGAGCGTGGTATGGTAGGCCAAAACGTCCTTTCTAAGGAGAGGCCTATGTCCAGCAGTGGACTATTATAGGCTGTTCATGAGATGATTTTCTTCTAGTCAGCTTTTGAATACACAGGAGAATGACTAACGTGGATGGTTCTGGTAACAGCAGGTTAAATAAGAGCCCAAGAAGTAACTACAGCGGAAACCAGTTACGGGGACTAGTTACTTAGGATTCTTTTTGGAATAGAAAGAAGAGAGGATGGCAATACAAAAATCAGAAGTGTATTGCCTGGCATTTACAAATACTCACTTCATCATCATCATCAACAGCCTTTAACAGTCCACTGCTGGACATAAGCCTCTCCTTAGAAAGGAGGTTTTGGCCTACTATACCACGCTGGCCAGACGGGTTGGTATAGGGTTTGTTTGTTTGTTTGTTTGTATACTCACTTACTTACTTGCATTCTAATCAACTCTTATTGAGTACTTATAAAACCAATGCCTTCGAAAAATGCCACAGTACTGATAACACAGCGTGTGAATGTCAGCCAGTGCCACCATTTCTTGTCTTATGCTTAGTGCTAAGTCACAGAAGAATAAAAAGAAATCCAAAACAAAAAAAAAAACTAATTCCACAAGGCCATTAACAATTACACGGTTTTTTTAAATTAATATGTTACTCTGGCTATGGGAAATCTTGATAAAAAGTAAGTCAAGTAAGATATGCTGTTAAATATACTATAGTGACAATTCACATCTATTTTCAGCTTGTCAATTTCAGCCTCTATGACCACTGGAATTTCCAACGAAATATTCTTATGAGGAAACGGCAGATCTACTATAACATTGACTATATATTCTCTTGAGAAAAACTTCGAATGTTGTATAGAATATAGGTTTGTTAGATTTGTTGGTACGGCACAGGTTAATTCGCCTTCAATTTTACTCGCTTCTAATGGAGATTCCAATACACTCTGGTTTATTGTTTCTCTTTTTACATTCTTGTCTTTTAAATCATATTTATAAGTAGTAACTGCCATCAATTTAGTTATAATACCATTAATTGCAAAATTTGTTTCATTATTGATACGAAAATTTAGTTTTATTATATCTCCTGCGGTGAACACTACCTTTTCAATCTTTACTTCTGCATGCATATTCTTCTTTGTAAGAAAAGGAGTTTTGGTTAAGGAAAAATTTGTGCGATGCTCCAGACTAGGTTTTACTGTTCCATATACTGGTATTTCTATATTCACTAATCTGTTACTGTGAAACAGTCCTGGTCTCTTGAATTCCACAAGAATTTTATATGATATCGTACACATTTTGCTTCTGTACGTAGATGGTAATTCTTCTGGAAGTTGAAATATAAATGCATGTTCATATTCTCCTGTGTTTAAGTATACGTGTCTTTCTTGTAAAACATTCTCGTGCATGAATACTAAGTCTTCTTTCTTGATCAAATGCCTAGACTCTTCTTTAGTTTTCTTGCCTTTCAGCTTGCCAGTGAAGAATATTGTGATAGACTTAAATATTGTTGGTTGGTCGATGCTATATCGGAGAGTGCCTGGTACCATTTGCCCGCTGGTGTAAATATTGTTGTGGGTTGGTCTCAGTAATATTTGACACTTAATCACCATTGTGTGGTATTTTAATATTATTAATTAATTTAGGTTTATCAAAGACAACCTTATTCTGTCACCAATAAAGACTTACTAATAATTAGTTGGTTTATTTGTTTAAACTATATTATGTGTGAGGTCTGTATGATTTTCCTTAACATTGTTTTCGTAAGGATAGTACACCCGTTCCACACAAAAAATAGAAATACATACAATATTACTTCATTTTATACTCGTAAGTATCCTTAGCGTTAAAGGAATATCATTTGAATACCGAATAATTTGATTGTGAAATGTAGGTTTATAAATTCGTAAAAACTTTTCTTGCCTTATCTATTTACTAATCTATTACATTGAGATTTTAGGACATACGTAATTTAGTTTTAAACCTTACCTATATTACATTACTAACCGCTCTTAATGGTTTTCACCTGTGTTTATAATTACTTCTCAACTTCTGACTCCGTAACGTGATGTCACATAACGTAGAATTTTCCTCAATTATTTTGATTTGTCAGATCAAAATAATTGATCGCTGATCTAGCGGTTAGTGATACTAAGTGCTAAGCGCGAGTTTGTTGTGGGTTCGATTTCCACCCAAAACCAATAATTGTGTGATGAGCACGATCCTATACTTTTTGTCCGGGTGTAATTTATCAAAAAGTAGGTATTTAAACATTGTGTTTATTAGCAGTCCGGTTACCATAGCACAGGCTCTGCCTAGTTTGGGATCAAACGACCGTGTGTGAGGTGTGTTAAGTTATTATTATTATGATACTTCATCTAGTACAAAAAGAGTTATTCAAATCTAATTAGTAAACCACAGACTGTGGTACAATTAACCAGTGTTGTTGCATAAATTTATTAACACAAAGTCTTAACTTATAAACAAAATGATGGATGGCGTAGTGGTTTAAACGGTCACCACGCCGCTTCCTACTACGCCGAGTGTTGTGGGTTCAAACCCCACATGGGACGACACTTTGTGTGATCCACAAATTTTTGTTCTGAGTCTGGGTGTTCTTTGTGTCCCTTTGATGTATATTTGTAAAGTCCCCCGCGACACAGGATATATTCCTAATGCGGGAGTTGTCTTTTTTTATAATAATTTAAAAAAAGTATCACCATGCGCCTACATTGTAATTAATTGTAGTTAACTGCATTATTTATTCCTTAATTTTCCACCTGTAAGAGTGGTATTTTTTCTTCGATTTGAATGGGACGAAACAGGTAATGATTCAAGTAGGGGAATTAAAATAACAAAGACCTTTTCAATTCAACTCATAATTGACAAAGTTTTATGGTGAAAACAAAAATATCAGAGGATGTGAGAACCTTCTTTTTTGTTTGAAGTTGATTAAATACTATATAAGATAAGTTTTCAGAACCTTTTTTTATTTAAAGTCGATTAAATACAATATAAGATAAGAAGATTTAGACCCAAATTGACTCTGGCAACTTCCACATACAATGAAATAGAAACATTCTATAGCGCCATCTAACGAAGGAACACCGAATTACGGAGTAACTGCTAATCCTGTATCGCGATATGAAAAATTCTCACCCCGATTGGCAAATACACAACTACCCAAAATCAACCATTGAGTCGCGGCCCGCCAGGCATGAGCAACTCGCCTGGTCGGAGGATCGTCCCTTTGTGTTGGAGGAACATGACACCCGTTCCCCCACATTGACCATGGCCTGTATTATGGATTCTAGAACACGCACAATATATATTTTATATTTATATTTCGCACATCTGACACACAACGGCATCTAGTTTCAAACTTAGCAGAGCTTGTACTATGAAATCTAGAATTACTGATAGAATACTTGAATGTTTCGTTTGTTTTGAAAATACCTAAACTCCTAAACAAATATTAGCAGATCATACAAACATTTGGTCCCACCCGGGAATCCAACCCGAGACCTCATCATAGCAGTCGCATAAACTACTACTTTGCCATCGAGGCAGTCAGCATGTGTGTCACAATTAAACATCTAAAATTCTTTTTAAAAGATCCGTTAAATCAAAATGTGTAACCGCGGTTTAACAATTATTTACGTTGCGTCCCATGTACATCCATTATATAAATACTTGATAATTTGAATTTTAAAAGCGCTGCCTTAGTGGGTTCGATTACCAATCCGAATTTTATAGCGTTATTCTAACAGAAAAAATAAAATAAGTTTCTCCTTATATAGCCAGCTGGTACTAAAATATTATCTAAATCGGTCCAGCTGTTTTTAAGATTACCCGGAACAAACAGACAGGTAGACAGACAAACAAAAAATATTTCAACTGGTTTTAAGGCATAGGTATCGTGCAAATAACCGTGTAAGCATACAAAATAGACCTTATATTTTGAAATTACAAAACAGACACTTCAATTTTATTTATTTGTTTAGATTATGACCGTAATTAAATGGTTTAACCAAGTGCGACTTTAACAATAGATACAGGAAGGTTATTACAGAAAATTAATTTGGGTTTGGGTTTATTCGGCCATTATCCCGACAGAATTGCGTAACTTCATAACCCCTATGTTCAATTCAAGCATTTAAACGTACTGCTTTTAAAGATAATTGTACAATAAATATAAGGAGTATCAATATGTTTCCCTTTGTGTATCATTAAATTATTGAGATCTCATCCGAAATTGGTATTTTAAGATTACTCTTGCTAACATTACTCTGAATGGGTGGTCGTACTAAAGTAACCTGGGTTCACTGAAAGAACTGTGCATCAATGCCCAATTTTTATGGTAAAGGAGCAAACGGGCTGAACGGTCCTGATGGTAAGTGACTACTGTCGTCCATGAACACCTGCAACTTAAGAGCAATAAGTGCGTTGCATCCCCTTTCAGACCCTTCAAACAGAATCAGAGGGGGGAAAAGGGTTTGTGCTTCGGGCACCTTACTTTCCCAGTGAAAAGCAACAAAAGAAGTCCTTTACACCAGTTTTCGGTCAGGCCGTGGTATCACTCCAGTCAAGCATGGCCCATATGTGCCAATGCATGGATCTCCATCGAAATTTTGGTATTGAGTTTGATTGTTCTCCCTTTTGAAAACCCATTTGAGTGGATATTAGAAGAAACATGTGGCTTTTATTTTTTAATTTTATTTTTTAATATATGGTCATACAAATACAATGTGTGTATTTAAATATAAATAATATATATTTTTTACTATTCTACTATACTACTCCCACAGTAGGAATATATCCTGTGTCGCGGGGGACTTTACAAACATACATGAAACGGACGCAAAGAACACCCAGATTCAATAATTTCATAAACAGGACAACACTTTATGGATCACACAAAGTGTTGTACCGTGTGGGGATCGGACCCACAACACTCAGCGCAGTAGGAAGCGGCGAGGTGACCGCTTTAACTACTACGCCATCTGTGCAGTTAATTCAATTAATATGTATTTACAATAAATAAAGAGATTAATAATAATAAAGTTTTTATTGTCAATTTTCTAATATTGCAGTACCTGGGTATACAGTTAATACATGGTAAAATTACTTATGTGCTACAATTATAGTGGGTGCAGTTCTGATCTCATAACTAGGATACTTTATAACTTGTGTGAAGGAGTCTCAGTTCCATTCCCCCAATAGATTACAAAAGATTATGTAATATTACCATTGGAGTAAGTTCATTTGTATTTAACTGCTACTGCACTGCCTCACTGGTGGTGCAGTGGTAGCGTATGCGACTGCTGTGTTGAGGTCTCGGGTTAGATGCCCGGGTCGGGTCAAATATTTGTATGATCTGCAAATATTTGCTTCGGAGTTTTTGTGTTTTCTATGTATAATATGTATGTGTTTAAGTATCTTATCAGTCAATCAAGCTTTCATAGTACAAGCTCTGCTTAGTTTGAAACTAGATGGCGTTGTATGTTAGTTGTCCGAAATTATTATTATTATTATTACTTAAGTGTGGTATAATTAACAGCAAACAAAGAATAAAAGAAAAAACCGGTCAGGCACGAGTCGAACTCGTGCGCCGAGGGTTCCGTACCTACCCAGATTTTACGTAGTTTTGCGCGAAAATTTGTGAATACATAAAAAAAACGGGCAAACAGGTTACCAGATGGTAAGTGACTACTGCCACCCTGAATTAAGGGAGATAGGGTTTGGGCCCCTGTAACCTCACTCAGTCAAAGAATAGTTCAACACCGATTTTCAGTTTGGCCTTGGTATCACTCCGGTCGAACCGGACAGTTGTATATCATTTATGTAATGAGAAAAATATGTAAAAACTGTCTCAAATTCGCACGTAGTTAGCGTGTGTTTGGAGGGAGATTACTTGTATTGAACTGTATTTTTGAAGTGATAACTTGTTATGGGCATGTAAACCGCTTCGTTACGTAACGTTACGGCGCCAGCCTGTCTGGCTTCCCTTTCTCTCACGCATACGGCAGCGGTAGGCAGGCTCCTCCTCTCTCACTCTAACCCACAGCGCTAGCCGTATTTCGGACAGACGCTTTACATAAAATTTAAGTAATAACCTAAGCTTTTCTCCAGTTAAACAATTTCAATATTAAATAGTTCAACTTAGATTAGTTTGTGTTTTCACTTCTGTCGGGTATCCCGAGACGCACACGTTTTTTTAATTTGTGTGACGTGAATAATATCAAGGTAGGCATTTCTATGATATCTCCATTGATCATCCATGATAGCCATTCAATGAATAGCCTGTTTTGTTCCAACTTTATCTGCTTAAAGTTGAGTACAAATAATAATAATAATGTAATTTATTTCAGAAAACTTGTTGACATTATAAAAGACATGTCATAAAATCAAGTAAGCAATCATAAAATAGTCAAAATTTGATGTCATAAATTAAATTACCTAACCTAACCATACCAGCACAGTCGTCCAATGATGGCCGATAGGACACTCGTATCATAACTACAACATTAACACCAGAGGATAACGGGTGGATATTAGAAAATCATAAATATATATATACAAATGGTGTAAGGGTTACACTGTGCCACCATCT